GAAGAAGAAGAAGAAGAAAAGGAAGAGGAGAAAGAGAAAAGAGAAGAAGGAGGAGGAGAAGGAGAAGAATGGCTATTAGTGAAACTGTTGGAAGTTGTTGGGAAGCTGTTGGGAGATGTTAGTTCCTGATGAACTAAACGGTTCTCATAATCCGAGCTCAGGACTTTGTGGTCACTGAGCATGTCTTTTTGGTTCACTTTGGGGGAACTCTAGCCCTCACTTTAAGCTTCAGTTCCTGCTCCAGAGTGTAAGTTGGTGCACAGCTCAGTCTCCTGGAAAAGCCTGTCATGTCAGCTTTCCTGATGGGAACCTGGCTTTCCTCATCATCAGAGGAACATGGGATCTCATTTCACTGAGGATGGCTGTGGTACTTTTTGGGGGAGCTCTGGTTCTTACTTTGAGTGTTGCTTCCTGGCTCCAGTTTACATCCCTCAGCATACTAGCACAAATCTTTTATTCTGCTGGAAGAAACTTTCTAGCTTCAATCACTAAACTTTGGGCCTTCCAAATGCAGATCTGTGAAACAGACCTGCATGAGACACTGTAATGAGCTCTAGGTCTTCAGTTGTATACATGCAAGCCATTATCATAGGATGCAGGCCCTCAGCTGGATTATTTGTTCTTTATTATGTGGACCATTTTCCTGCACTCTTTTTGTATATAATTATTTGGTGACTATCTTAGTTACTCCTCTCTTATTGCTAGGACAAATACTGACACTCAAAATAAAAGAAGGAAAGGTTCATTTAGCTCACGGTTACTGGAGGTTTCAGTCATATTCAGCAGGGTCCAAGGCAGAGCAGCACAGAGCAGAGAGCAACCTTTCATGGCAAGGCAAAGAGCACAAGAAGCACAAGGAGGAGTAGCAGCAGCTCCAGCAGCTAGCTTCTCCCTCCTCCTTACACTGAAATGCAAATTACCTGCCCCAGGGCAGGTGCAGCATCCACACCCACAATAGTCAATCACAAACTCCAGGAGCCTCCCCAAGACTGCATGAGGCTTTGGGGTGGGGGGACAACTATACACAAATCATAACAGTGACTATTATAAAATAATCTCTAATTAAGTGTCCTGCATAGTATTGTCTCCCCTTGCAGAACTCAAAACCATAACAGCCTTAGTTCAATATAAGACAATGCCTTTACATCCATGGTTCACCAAGAAATCTCCAGAGGAAGAACTTAATTCCTTTGATCTCATAGATCAGTAAGGATGGCTCCACATAAATAGCACCATCGCCCCTCTTTAGACAGAATTATCTGTGGAAGATGCATCTTCCTGCCTCAGTAAAGATTTTCAGCGACCAGGGCCTTCAAGAGGAACTAGTAGTACGAGAAACAAGGGAGTGTAGGAGTCATTCTCTTTCTGCCATTTAATTCTAAACAGTACTTTATGGTTATTCTCAC